TTAAGGTACATACAAGATGTAATAAACTTAGGGAGCAGTCTTGGCAGGAGAATGTTAGACAATTTGACTGCAAATATCTTCAGTTTAGTGCATGTTATTATTAAACAGAACGCTCTGAAATGAATGTGAGCATGGATAAGCCTGGGGAGATGCATTATACAGCCATGTCAGTGAATCTGTTCTTTCATCTCTGGGGATGAGAAAAAGCAGTTAAAATACAAAATATGATTGCTTCGTATGTTTTAGGCAAGGACACCAGCTCACAGGAGCATGGAAAGACTCATCAAATAAGTCTTCCTAAAATTATGAAAAGGTATCTGTTTTGTAAATGGGCTTGTTCTATTTAAGGTAGTATGCAGTGTAAACCATAATTAGCAAACGGAATATAAAACTTGACAAAAAAATCCTTTTCTATACAACCATTATGTATGAACTTGTTGAAGTAGGATATTTTTAAAGATAATTAATCTTGTCTACCCTAAGCACTGATTTTCATAAAGATTGTAGCTAAGCAGCCTGTTTCAGTACCTTCGCTGAAGGCAGGAGAGAGAGATCCTTCTTTCAGTTTTAGCAGAACGCTGGGCTGTCGGGACATCTGTGCTGTCTGACAGGTGGCCAAGCTTTGGGCCAGGAGCATGGCCAGCATGGCAGAAGACATAGGTAAGGTAGAGGAACTGGCACTGTCACAGCGTTGGGCCAAAGGGGAGTGGCCAGAAGGAAATTCCACCACTTTGAGGTTTGGGGTTGGGGGGAGCTCAAAACATGTCCTGGGGGAAATTAAGGAGCACGAGGTGGGAAGGCCTGAAGTGCCACAGGGCGAGGGCATGGGAGGTGCAAGCTGGAGGACCTCTAAGTACAATAGGAAGGTCATCATGGGGACAAACTGGTAAAGAAAGGGTGCAGAGCTGGGGTTTGCACAATGGGGACTTAAGAGACAGGAAGCAAATTCATAGGAAACTGATCTTCCTTTGGCCTGCTGCTCACAAAACAAGCTATTCTTTAGAGCAAGGAAAGGAAGAGGTAATGCAGGAGGCATGTTTCTGAGTCTCCCTAGGACTAACCTTGGGGCCAGAGGATTTCTTTCACTGCAGAGAGGAGGAGGATTTGCAGTGGATCCCTTCTCTGGAAATGATGCTAACCAGGATGGGTTTTTTGTTTTGTGTTTGGTGTTTTTTTTTTTTTTATCTCAGCAATATATCCACCTAAAAACTAAAACCACGCACATCACTTGGGCAACCTGTTTGTGAGAGTGAAAATTAACTAGTTTAGTGTGGGTCAGGTGGAGATTGTGAACAGTGTTATTTTCTATGAGACACTATAACATAAAACAGGTTTTCTCCTGCTTTGCATGCTTTTGCTCCCAC